AGTACTTACAAGCATTAAAATTGTAACGCTTAAATATCGATATAATTATGAACATTACAAATTTATTATTATCATCAATTTGTTTACTAATTTTTTACATTGGTCAAATTCAATTATATGAAGTTGAAAACACGCAATATTTGGATGATGAAATAATAAGAATAGGCATCATAAACATAAATGGAAACGAAATTAAAATTAATCAGACGTTTTAGATGGTTAAAGAATTTATAAAAATTCAATATGGGAGAGAAAATTTAGAAAAGTTATACCCTTATTACAATATAGCCATGGTGAATGGATCGTTGAAATATGTATATGTATTGACCAAGTATAGTAAAATAATACTTGAACGTATGATATATGATAAACTTCTAGTAATATTTAGTACCACAATTTATAATATGTGTGGTTTTTTTAAGCTTAACCATTTAGAAAATGAAAGCCTAGAAAAAATCAAAATCACCTTAGAAAATTTCAAAAATTACAAAAATTATCCTAAAGAACCATATTTTTTTTCAGATTCTAAATTCGTATGCGATGTTTTAGATCAAATTATAAAAACAATAATTGATTATTTTAAAGGTAAAAATATGTTAGTACTCCTACACGATTGGAAAATATTCAAATCTGTAATAAGTGAAGACTTATTAGACTTATTAGAAAAATATTTTTNCAAATCTGTAATAAGTGAAGACTTATTAAAAAAATATTTTCCTCCAACAGAACATGAACTCACAAATGAGCAACTAATTGAATTTATAGACATTTTCGTTATTAATATAAATAAAGAGTATAAAATAAAATCTAATGTCGACAAAAATAACGAAGAAGATAGTAAAATACATAATTTTACTCCATGATTGTTTCTTTAATTTTAATTTTATTACTACAATGTATAACTCTAAAATTGTATTCACAATATACACTTTTTTAAACAATTATCGTGTAATGCAGACATAATTATTTTTTAGTTAAAAAATTTATCAATAAAATATTTTTGAAAAATATTTATATATTATTATCACACACAAGTGTTTTATTGCAGTCTTAGTATATTAAAAATGAATATATTTCAATACTATTTTTAGAACAAAAGTTTTTTTTTGCTTTTTCATTACAAAATTATATGACCATTCATATATTATACCCTGTTTTCTTATTAATATTCCATCCATTAACATTATATTAATAGATATTTGAGATTGTATACCAAAAAATTGACGTAAATTGATGTTGTCTTAATAAAATACTAGTATTTTTATTGTTTAGTACTATTAAATTAATAACATTGTGTTATTAGTCATATTTTATCTATTAATACAATTTATTTCCAGTCTCAGAGTCTCATGAAAGGTAGTAATTTGAACACGTTGACTGCCATGAGGGTCGTTTCAGCCCCTCAGTAGAATTTTTAAGTGAGCCATGAGAGGTCATTTAGTTCTTCACTGTTATGTTTTCTTTGAAGACTCGTGGGTTCAAATAGCCCCTCGGTTACGTCTAAATACCGTATCATCTGATTTTCTGTTATCAGTTTATTAAAATGCTTCATGCAGCATTTAAATGTTTACATATAGGTGACACACCAAAACAGGCGTGGCAATGAACGTGTTAATATGTTGTTTTTCCGAATGTGTTTGTTACCACTTATTCTCAACTCTCATTGGATCGATTTAATGAACAATACTGTCAGATAAAATATATACTTGTATTATACATGGACAAATTAAAAGAAGAAGAATTTACTTAAATAGGTCTGACACTTTTATATATATCTTAAATTAAAGCTAATGTAATGTACTTTATTATGGAAAAAAAAATTTCGGACTTTATTTTATCTTCATGGTGAAAATGGCTACCAAATGCTATTTTCGTGTGAAAATTTTCGATTTTGTATTTTACATTTTTAACTTTAAAATGCTATAACTTTTTGAAAAATATATGGATCAACACAATTTGGTATAATTTTTTTATAAATCTGACTTTTTACCTGCCCAAAGGTGGGGATTCAAAATGACAACTTTTTCAGAAAAAATTTGCTTTCTCAACTTAAATTTTGAAAGTGTTCCGGAAAGTCTGACACTTTTATATATATCATAAATTAAAGCTAATGTAATGCACTTTATTATGGAAAAAAAAATTTCGTACTTTATTTTGTCTTCAGGGTGAAATTGGCTACTGAATGCTATTTTTGTGTGAAAATTCTCGATTTTATTTTTTTATTTTTAACTTTATAATTCTATAACTTATTGAAAAGTGTATGGATCAACATAATTTTTTTATGAGAAATAATAATTTTTAATAATCCCTTTTTCATTCGATATACTTTATCTGAATCAGGATATTAATAACGAACTAGCAGATCATGTTGTTTTTGGAATAATCCTCCTATTTTTTTAAAATTAAACACTATTTAAAGATTTGCATCGAAGCGTTTTTTATGATAGTGATTTTAGTCACTGTCAGATATCATTATACTTGATCCAAATATGTCACGTCACCACTGTGCCGCGACCCCCCTGTGCTGGGTTTTTAATATTTAAAATGGTTCAATTGTATAAGTGTTAAATAATGTCTATAAGTTTCAATTAAGTTTATCATTGTATCATTATCAAGTTATAATTGTATAGATTTTACATCGGCTAACAATCATGATTGTTTTCGATTATAAAGTACAGTCAACAAGAATAACGTTAATGTAGTATTAGAATTTGACATTGTAGGGATTAACAAAAATGTAAAATAACATGTCACAATGAATACGTTTATATGTTTTATCTTAGATGTACACTGCAGTACGATAACACTCCGTGTATTATTTTTAGTATCGCGCTGTCCGTCAACGCGAGCGTTTAAAATTCCAACTTTCTGGCGTACCAACCCAGAACTTTGGTTCAAACAAATTGAATCCGTTTTTTATACAACCAGAATTACAGCTAGTATACCAGAATGACGCAAGTAAATTTCATCATGTTGTTTCCTCTATGGAAAGTGAAATTCTTGCTCAAGTTACTAACATAATACTCAATCCACCAGAAACGAAAATGTACGAAACATTAAAAACCCGGCTCATCGAAAGATTTTCCGAATCTGAACAATGTCGGCTAAAAAAATCCCAACACAGGGGGTCGCGACACAGTGGTGACATGGCATAGTTGGGTCAAGTATAATGATATCTGACAGTGATTTAAATCACTATCATAAAAAACGCTTCGATGCAAATCTTTAGATAGTGTTTAATTTTAAAAAATTGGTTGATTATTCCAAAAGCTACATGATCTGCTATTTCTTTATTTATATCCTGATTAAGATAAAGTATGTCGAATAAAAGAGGGATATAAATATTATTTCTCATAAAAATTGTATTGATGTAAAATATAAAAATAAAATCGAGAATTTTCACACAAAAATAGCATTCGGTAGCCAATTTCACCCTGAAGACAAAATAAAGTCCGAAATTTTTTTTTTGCATATTAAAGTATATTACATTAGCTTTAATTTAAGATATATATAAAAGTGTCAGACTTTCCGGAACACTTTCAAAAGTTAAATTGAAAAAATTAATTTTTAGTGAAACAGTTGTCATTTTAAATCCCCCCCCTGTGGGCAGGTAAAGGGTCAAATTTATAAAAAAATATACCAAATGATAGGTAAAGATATTATGTATCTATAAAAAAAAATTATATTGATATGTTTATTTTTAAAAAAGTTATAGCAGTTTTTAGTAAAAAAAATTGAAAAAATTTTGAAAATTAGCGATTTTTAAACTTGTAATTTTTTTGGAGGTTTCCCCCATTTACGGGGAACGAGGGAAATTTTTTCAATTTTTGAGGGTAATGTCTTCGACTAGATACGATTTGTGATCTTTTGACGTATCGTTGGAAGAAATCGGTTCGGTGAGAGCTGAGAAAAAGTGGTAACAGACACAAAAAAAAAACACAACTTAGTAAAACCAATACCTTCTCAGCTTCGCATCGAAGCTAAAAACCAATTAAAAAATATTGTTTGTTATTTATAAATAAATATAGTGGTCGAGAAGGAATTTTCATCCGACATCATAATATACTTTTCTAAAACTATTTTTGCGCCGATTTGAAATCTGCAATTAGAGTTTCGCATATGACCTAAATAAAAACAAAATGCTTTTAAGTAATATGACAAATATTTATATTTGATTATTAGGTTATGTTCTTTTTTCTATATGCATTTTTAAGTCTTGAACCCTCTACATAAAGGGAAATGGTCTGATTAAAAAAAATTATGTTGCATAAAAGAAATATATTAATAGTAGTTATCATAAAAAATTATAATGATCTATACATTTTTCAAAAAATTATAGCATTATATAGTTAAACATATAAAAAATAATTTTTTTTATAAAAATCGTAGTTTTTTATTAACATTGATTTTCACCATGAAAACAAAATAAAGTCTGAAATTTTTTTTTTTAATATTAAAGTACATTATATAAGTTTTAATTTAAGGTATATATAAAAGTGTCAGTATTTCCGGAACACTTTCAAAAGTTAAGTTGAAAAAGTGAATTTTTTGTGAAAAGTTATCATTTTGAATCCCCCCCTGTGGGCAGTTAAAGGGTCACATTAATAAAAAAAAAAGTATACCAAATGAAAAGTAAAAACTTCATCTATAAAAAAATTATATTGATTTGATTATTTTTAAAAAAGTTAAGGCAATTGTAAGTAAAAAATTTGAAAAATGTCGAAAATTAGCGATCTTCTTTAAAACATAAGGAATTAACATAAAAAATATTTTTTAACAGATAAATGGAGATACATATATAACAAAAACCAAAAAAAAAAATGTACAATGAAATCATTATTTTAATAGAAATTGAGTAGTTAATGATAAAGAATCACTCTGTATTCCCGAATCATAGGCGTGCCCTATCTGTAGCATGATGTCTAGTGAACTAAAAAAACTTGTTATCATTTAAATAGCTATTATCAACTGCCAAATTAATCTGGCCGTTACTCAAATTTTTTTTATTATAATATTTTACATAAAATTATCAATTTATATAAATAATCTAAATTAATTGTTCAGAAATTTATTTAATCATTATTTTTGTTATTAATATCCAGTTAAAATTAATTAGTTAATTCAGTATTTTAATATTTTTCATTTTAGTATTAGATTTACAATAAAGTAGAATTAATGTAAAGCTTAAATTATTTTGCTATAAAAAATTGGATTATAATGTCAATGAATTCACAAAAACGAAAAGCTTGTGACCCTGATTCTTACTCTGACAGTGTATGGAAACAAACCAAAGGAAATGTAGTCAGTAAATTAAAATACTCCGAACCATTTGGCTTTTTTCTATCGGCTGTTGATTCTAATCCATTAACTCATAGTGAAGATTTAACTTTATCATTTCCTGGTATAAAAAAATTGTATAAATCGATTTAGAATATATAAATCAAAATCATAATAAATACTTAAATTGAATTTTTATTTGTTTCATTTTTTAGAACTCTTAGATAAAAGTCTTGGAGATTTAAAAGAGTCTCTTCATATTAATTTTATGGTAGAACTTGGTTGGCTTTTGGCTCAGTATTACATTACAAACCAAAGGTATACTGCTTTAAAATTCATGAATATTTTATCAAATAAAAATATAGTTTATATACATTTAACTTTCAGAGGGAAAACTGTTTATTTATTGTATGAACATTGCGATGAAGATTTAAATACTTTAAAAACAATGAATAAAATTCCAAACCTAAGATTTACTCAAGTGAAGCCTCAAAATGTATTTGGGCATCATCACACGTGAGTATTATAATATATAAATGAATTTTAATAAATTTTTTCAAAATTATAATATTTATAGGAAGATGTCTATGTTTTTATATTCTGATGGTTCCATACGTATTGTAGTGATGACTGCCAATTTACGTGAAGAAGATTGGACCAACTTAACTCAAGGGTAAATTATTTAAAGTACCATAAAATAACCCTATATAATGCCTTAAATAAATAATTGCACCAATATATAAGTGCCTGGTATAGTATTTGTAGAAAACTAGGAGAGGAAATTTTAGTTATAAAATTTCTAGTCCTAATGTGTGATGAGATTAAATTTAAAATAAGGTCTCTATAGCATCTATAGTAAGCATATTTTTTTTTTTTGTAATGTTATATTTAAGGTGCAAGGTAACCCTATTTTGTAATAGATTGAGTAACACTAATTCTAGAATTAATTTGAATATCATTGAACTCTATCAATATTTTGTATTTTTAGTAGCTTTTTAAGTTAAATATTTTTACTTTTTAATTTAAGATTAATATTTTAAATATATTATTTATTTTAAACATTAATAATAATGTAATGAAAAATATTTGCTTAAAAATAAAACACATAAATAAGAATTATAATAAATATTATCATTTTTTTACACTTATTCTTTATAATATATTTCACTATAATGTCCGCCTGGAAAACTAAAAACTTCATATTCAAGTAGGGTGACATAACTAGGGAATGAAATGTACCAGTAAACAAATGGCACTGAGTTTTTAACTGAATAACTGAAATTTTATGCTACAAAGAGTGGACTACTACTCTCTGTAGCATGTTAAAATTATGAAATAGAAGGATGTAAAACTGATCATAATTTTTTTTTAATTGCCTTTTGAAAAATTACAGATTCATAATGTAATAAAAACTAATAATTATAGTAATTTATTAAATGTTCAAATAGATTTTAAAATTGATATTCTATTTGAATTTTAAGAGACTATAGTAAAATAGTATATATATACGGGTATTTTTTATATATTCACTTAACATGAACCACTTAATGAATCAAAAAATAAAAGTAATATTGATAATTTTTCTATTTGATTATTTTAATTTAATGTTTTTATCAATAATAAATTATTGTATATATTCACCCTTTATAACTTAAAATAGTGTCAGTCAACTTTATTTTTTCAAATGACAACATACATAATTAACGGGTTTATTTAATAGATAAAAATCTAACTAAAAAAATTACTGTTGGATAACAACTTTTAACCAGTATTTTAAACGATTTTAATAATTTAAAGTAATAACTAATGGTGAGAAGTGGGTGTTGTTATTTTTATAATTAAACATTTTTTGGTCATACTCTTCCTTTTACCTTGATATAAATATATCGATAACTTACAAAATACTGGTCCAAAAGTTGTTATCCACAGTCATTTTTTTAATTAGATCATTATCTATTAAATAAACTAGTTATAAAGGTACAAGAGATAAACATAAAAAAAAACTTTATGATTGAAAAATGAAGGGAAAATAAATCTTAAATCAATATTAGTAGTATATTATATCATTTTTGTATCTCATGTTATAGTTGTTAATAATTTTTTATAATTAATTATTATTTAATACGTTATTTTAAATAGTAAAAATGTTTAACATAAAAGAGTATAAAGTTTTATTTTATTAAAAATATAATTTAATAAATTACTTATTAATTCATAAAAATATTTTTTCAAATTTTTTTAATTTATTTTTACTTGAAGTAAAATATCCATTATTTTTAAAAATAGTAGGGTTTTTTTTACATAATAATAAAAACATTTTATTATATTATGTTTAATTTAAAGAATATGGGTTAGTCCAAAGTTTCCTCAACTTCATAGTACTGACAAGCATAATGGAGAATCAACAACTGGTTTTAAAAATGATATTCTACGTTATTTACAATCATACAAAGTTGAATTATTAGAAAATTGGATACAAAGAATCAAAAAAACTGATTTTAGTAGTGCCAAGTAAATTTGCAATATTATATAAGTAATATTTCTTTTAATCAGATGAATTATTAGGGTATTTTTCATCTCAAGTATTCCTGGTAAACATTTTGAGCCACTATGGGGTCAAACCTATTTAAGAAATATTTTAAAAACACATGCTCATATACCTTCTGGATCTCCGTCTGATTGGCCTATCATTTCTCAATGTTCTTCAATAGGATCTTTAGGAGCAAATGAAAAAGATTGGTTGACTTCAGAGTTCATATTTAATCTATCATCATCTACTCAAAACTGTAAAACAGATAATAATATTCCTTTTAATTTGGTATGTTTTTATTATTAATTGATTTCTACTTAATTTTTTTCTTTGTTTGAAAAAAATAATAATTTCAAACAAAAAATATGGAATTTATTTTTTTATTTTCCATTAATATTATTAAAATACTTCTTTATAGTAAAACTTAGATCTTATTGACTGTTAACAAACTGGGAATCAAATCCAAGTCTCTCGCTATCCAGGTGAGAGCTTTACCACTGTAACTAACAATACAAACATTTCTACGTCAGTAATTTGAATTTAATCCTTTTTTTTTTATGACTACCATACTTTTTTTAAAGATAAATTCATTGATTTTAAAAAACATAATAGGACATACTATTTGTTGTTTTTTTTTAACATAAGATTTTAGCTTCGATGCGAAGCGGAGAAGGTATTAATTTTACTATGATGTGTTTTTTTTTTTTTTTTTTTTTT